TTTAGTCATTGGGTGGGGATTCCCCCATGCACAGTCCATGAGTCAATCAATGCTGCAATTCCGGTTTTAAGGACATGAGTATAAAACAATGCAACTCGCTTCGTATTGATTAGTTTGGTTATTTCGCAGTCGTAGAATAGAAGTGAAGTGTTAACGATTTGTTTGCTTATTCGCTAGTGAATCCGTTATTTTCTGTCCGTTTGTTGTTCGATTACACTTACAAGGTTAGACCAAAATGTTTAATTAATACATAAGTGCCTATCAAACGTAAGAGTAAGATATCTATTGGAAAAACCACAGCAAAACTGACAATGGCGACGATCGTCCTTACAAAAATGACACTGGCCATGTCTGTGCACTAAAAAAGATATTTATTTTTTTATGTAGTGTTTTCTGCACCACAAATTCGCCATTTACAGTATGGTTCATTTTGCCAGTAAGCTTTTTTAATAATTTCCAATGAATCTTTAACCGTGGGATTTTATTATTAGAAAATACTTTCGACTTGGATAATATTATTGAATGATGAATAAAAATTAACAAATCTTAACTCTTATTTGTTACTACTCATCGCTAAGATTAAGGAAATCAACGAAAACAAAACAAAATTAAGGACGATTTTTAAAATGGTGTAAAGTGAATCAAGAGAATATTTCTCACGGCATTTACATCTAAGAAATTTAAATTTAAGTCAATCCATAGTTTATGATCTTGAACACTGTAGTATAGTACCTGTTAAGCTATGTGTGTGTAACATACTATCATAATAATATACCTATCACTTAAGTGTAAGCGTAGTAAAATTGACTTTCTACTAATTCAAATTAAAGAGAAATAATTTTTTTAAATAGTTTTTCGGCGCCGATGTAGTCCTATTTTTCGAGATACGACAAGATCGCTTTCCGGCGTCGATATATACCGAATAATCTGCTGTTAAAAAAGCAAGGATTCAAAGATATTAACCAAAATCAATTCACTTTCCAGATGGGGTTATTATCCGCTGTTATAGTCGGATCGTTAGGGGGCATTGTCATCGTGACTGGTGGCGTTGGCCTGAGCGTTGTGGCCCCAGTATTAGGCTTTAGCTCCACGGGTATTGTTGCCGGGAGCACCGCGGCTGCAGCTCAAGCCTATGTAGGCAACGCTGTTGCAGGCAGTGTGCTTGCAAAACTGACTTCAATGGCCATGCTTGCTCCTACTCCTTGAAAGGTGTGTGTAAACAATAAATTGAGGTCATAAATAATGAACTGTATTTTTATTCAACTCGTTCATAAATGTCGTTCAGATATTCTATTTACTATACAAGAATTTATTATAATTCCTAACTATGAGACAAGACCGGATCGAAATGAGATTATCATTACGATAACTCAGATCGTGATTATAGCGACCGTATTGATTATTATTGTCAAAGACATCACTGATAACTAGTTACATAGATCGGCTGGTAAAACCCCGAAAAACCTTTATATATAACGACTGGCAAATACACTGCGTTTACAGCGCCACGGATCAGTAGACTGAGCCCTGGCAGCTCGATCACTCACTGATCGAGCTGCCAGGGCTTTGGCGCGCAGTTTCCATCGAGTCACCGCCGCGGAATCTCATGAATAATTGCCTCACTGGGCAATTCAAGTGCAGCGCGACATTATGCGAATACATAGCGTGCCGTGTAGCGAGCGTGCACGCACATCGCACTGCTACGTCTTATTATAACCACGCCTAAACAATCACCTTATAAGAAGACCAGTGCTGAACAGCTTTATGTACATAGAGCATACAATAAATAAAACTACATTAGAAATAAAAACATAAATTAATTTATTTACAACGGGAGCACGTAGCACTTATTATATTTTTGGGAAGACATCATTAACAAGGGTATAGAAAATCCATATAAAAATCTCATGGTAAAGCAGTGCGGCATTACATTATGCCTTTACCAATTTGACTAGCATTAGATCACTCATATAAAAATATACAACTTTCAAATTGTACTTTCTTTCACTGTAAAACTTTAGGCCATACTTTCAGACAATTTCTTAAAAAAAATTAACAAATAACAATCTGAGACGTAATTTAATGTTGTACGTACCTGACTTCAAAATAAAGACGACAAACCGCAAAAAGGTTTTATATACTATGTAAGTAATTTATTAGCCCTTACTTCAAGCACATTTGATGTCATAATGCCATATCTGCAAAATGACAACTTTTCAGGAGAGAGGCTTAAAGATTCTACGAACGAAATTAGTTACTAGCTTGTTATGCTTAAGAGTCGATGCTCAGCTCGAATTCAATTCTTTCCCGTACTAATACGGTTCATTTCGCTTGGATCGAGCTGCAGGGACATTGAGCTTATTTCAGAATTTATTTTTTTACAAATGAAATTAAAGTCATTTCAAAAATGTATATAGTATGCTACATGTGTTCTATTTAGTTCAGTTGATATAAAAATAATCATTATATGTAGAGTACCTATTGTATACAGCAGTTTTCTTGTAAAATTCCGAGGTAAGTTTGTCTTTTTATCCTAAGAATAATAACGCATAGAAACCTAGTCCGCACACGCTAAGTGAGGCAAATTGAAGCGCGCCAAAAGGGCCTACACGCGCGGGCGGGCCTTCAGTGCTCAAGGTCAATTTGCACCGCGAACAGATCAAGAATTTTAGCTAAAAATGACGAAATGTGCGGTAAATGAGTGTAAAAATACGTCAGACAAACATAAAATAGATACTAACATCACATTCCACAAGGAAGTAACGTGTTTCAACTTGTATTTTTATATAAATATTCACTAAAACCGAAAATTAACCTACTACTAAAACCAGCCTACATGAATTTGATTTTTGCCTCACTTGTGACAGTTCGTTTGATATGAAACTATCATTCTATGCGTTATTATTTTTAAGTTTTTATCTATAGTGAAAATTTTTAGGACTCATGTTTTCACACCAAACAGTAATCAGTATATCCTCAACTTTACTATACATTTCTGCCAAAGTGATAGATTCAACACTTTCGCTGTTCTGCGGAATCAAATAAAGCCATTTGGGGTTGAATAGACTACATTTTTTTTTATTATTTGCCTGTTTTTAATATATCCTCAAAATTTTGAAGTCAGTTCTGTCATTCCTTTCTTAGTCCTCCTTGTCTGCCCAAATACTATCGCCGTTAACCTCACTGGTTCCTCTAACAAGTTTCTGGATAGCTGGCAGTTTATAAGCATAGACGGAAAGTGCGGAACCTGCGCAGGCACCAATCCAGTAGACAACAGCGTGTTCCAACAACGTGTGACCTTCGCAGCCAGCTTTCAGGGACGTGGCAAGGACTGGATTGAAGTAGCCACCAGAGTATTCAAAAGCTGCAAAAGAAGTAGATAATTATAATGAATGAGGTAAATTAAACAGCTGTTTCCAGCTACGGAATTTTCTGTGTTACAGGCACAAGAGTGACGAAATTTACTTTGAAGGCATTAATCGTAAGCCGTTTCGAAACAAACTGAACCACTTATATTATTTTGGTTGCTCTTCTTCATTTTGAAGGCACCATTACTTATAGGAAAATTAATTATAATATACACAGCCTGGCACACTTAGTGGAACATTGGTAAATTTCCGAAATCATATAGTGTTTTTTAGAAAGTCTGGTTGAATATTTTTTTATTTAAATAAAGAAAATAATCCTAGACTAATTAAAAACTAAAAAAATATTGTTGTTTAATTAAAAAAATGTGACAGCAAAATTTTTTAATCTATTGTTTTAATCAATATCGAGCGGGTTCGAGAATAATTTTGCATTTCTGTAAATTTCGTAAACTTTAGTTGAAATAGTTTTTATATTATTAATGTTTGACTTAATGAATGTTAAACTGATACAATTTTTTAATGTTTAGCTATTTCTGCTTTGTTACAAAAATGTAAAAAGATACATTATGTTTAATTTAGATTTTTTCAATCGCTATTGTCGATCGAAAAAGTCGATGTCAAAATACATGTGTTGACTTAATTCTACATTATGTGTAACTCTTATATATTTCAATATCAATTTTACTATTTTATATTGCTACACTACTCTATATTATTCCCAAAATGTGCCGGTATGTGTATATATGAACCATTTTACTAAGCTCCGTAGTTTTCCTAAATAAAAACGAAATAGTACAAATCCAAAGCGTTGTTGATAATATGCAACAAATACTAATTTAGTTCTATATAAAACATCTAAGCAATGTGTCTGACGATGCTAAGAATGGATGTAATGAAATCGATAATGTACAAAATGGTATGCCTGTACAGAACAAAAAACGAAAGAATCCGGACCAGGAACGCACTTGCGATGTTAAGAAACTTCCTTAGGCAGCAGCAGCCACTTACCAGATGGACCTGCCTTTTAGTTTGAAAACAACTTCACCTTTTGCTAATGATCATCCAACCATGCGTATTAAGAGCCGATGAATATGAAAAAGGTTAGTGGACATTGTAATTACTTCGATGTACCTTTTCCTAAATGCACTTTGCAAAAGATGGAGACGCTTAGGTCCGTGCTAGCGTTAGTGTCCTCATAACGATACACGAATACCGTATGCCTAGCGAGGACCCCTGCAACAGTGAACCCGTGTGAAAACACAGTAATGTAAGCCTAGTCACCAATCTAGAGGAAATACGCGACTTGGATGACGCAGGCGCAATTTGGCTAAATCGTGACAAATAAATACGTCTCTTGTGCCCCATGAATGGTGCTCGCATAGTATTTTATGTCACGATTGAGCTATCAGCAATGTTTACTCGTTTCATTTGTCCATAACCTAATTTGAGAATCTTGTTGATAAGAATGGTGATGCAGATGTCTGATGCCTTCAAATGGTAACAGTGAGAATTCAAAATTAAACGAAAGAAGCGAAGGAATACAGTCAATTACAGTAATTTTGTATTAGTCACAAGTACCTAGAATGTAATTAGAATGACTTTTTGACTCAATAATGTTTGTAACAATATGCAGATGTGTACAGCAGTAGGGGGATAACAGAAGATCTCACTCAAACCAAATGTAATTTATATAGTATGCGTAAAGCTGAACCTTGATCTCAGTCGTATCATGCGAGTTTCGAAAAAATTATCGAGCTAATATAAGAATCCCGAATCAGTGACATAACACTAAATGTACAAAATATGAGACAGCCTTGAAATATTTCCCGCTTATATTCCAAAAATTAATTTCCCTATCGTGAGATGTACATCGCGTGATACGCCTAAGGACGCTTATAAGCTAAGTCTTTTATTTTACATGGAACAATTAAACATACCAGCAACAACGAGGGAAGTACCAATGAAGGCATCAATGGCAGTGGCGAAGCGAGGGTTCAGGTCGCCGAGAGCCTTGGACGCCAAACGGCATAGGCACGTGGCGATGCCTTCGATCACGGCACCGTAAAGTACCGGGACCTGGAAATTATGAAGGTCTAAAGGTTGGAATTTAAAAAAAATGGGAATCTCACAGTTATAAGTATGAAACGAGAAAGAGTTTTACAATGTTGAAGATACAGAATAATAACCAAGTACTTATTTCTACTAACAACTTTTCAAAAGGACAGATTTATATATTTATCTGGTACGCTAAAGCTTTGCATGTACCCTGACGGACTCTAGTGCTTGCATCTAAAGAAATGCAGCCTTGTCTGGAAAGGACCATGATCTAGCACCATTTCATCAAACCATAAAGTTTGGTACCTTTGATTTGTTCTTGGGTGCATCAGGATATGCCAAAATCAATTGTTAGTGAACACCCAAAAACAAAAACGGTCGGTAACACACACAGAACACGAAAGTCGTAAGGATACATGCATTGTGATTGTCATTTGTCATTTTAGCATCAGTAGGAATTGCAATAAGTAACCAATGTTTCAATTCATTTTTTATAAAATTAAATGATCAAGCCAAAGCACTTACTTGGAGTCCAGTGGGCCATGTCAAGCAAATTCACTCTATTGGACGTTAATCATGCTCAAACCATAAGAGCGATTACACACGGTTACATTTAGCAGCGATGCAAAAGCGATATACGTTTTAAATTAATTACTTAAGTAATTTATTAATTTAATGATTTATTAACATTGACTTACAAATAAATGGACGACGGGTCTAATACAAAACTACGAAAAAAATGTCCCAAGTCAACCTATTTAAACGTAGTGACATGTAAAGGAATATAAAAAAGCTTAAACGTTGAATTTAAATTGTAATGTCATCGCAGTACTGTCTAATTTTGCTTGCTTCGCTGTCAGTCGAACAAGCGAAGACTAAAGCGTGAATGACGCTCTGTATACGATTTTAACGCCCTATAAGTTCGGACACTTTTTAGCGCGGACCCGATGTCCATATAATTGTAAGTCAATGTTTATTAATTTCACTTTTAAATTTACAATTAACAAAACAAAACAATGTGTATAAACCTATACAGATTCTTCGTACATACTGATTCAACATAAGCGACTGCATCAATGCAGTCACGCGTTTGCTACACTGCTAAGAGCCTATGCACACGGCGTATTTTATACGCGCAGACAACGCGTGTTTCGAGAAGAAGGTTCAAAAGCGCGTTCGACGCGTTTTGCAAGACTAAGGAAAGAAGCAGAGGAGTGGCTATGTTTACATTTTTTTCTTTTTAATATCACTAATAAAGCTAGCGTAGGCAGTGTTGTCTCGACTGACGCCATGGAGATACTATTGAGTAGTAGAGTATATTAAGTGCCCGTTTCACAAACGCACGTGAAACGCGCGTAAGGCGTATACGAATTTGTGAACGTGTGCATAGGTTTACTGGCTACGACTGGATCTGGTTTGAATCGCGTTAACGCTGTAGGTGACGTTATAGGAGACTCAGAATTAGTGGAGGCGAAGCTGAAGAGCCTTGAACATCGCCCTAAAGTTGCCTGCTATCGGTATTTTACAGGATATATCACGGAGAGTGTGCGATGGAATTACACGATTTAATTCCGCCTTCCCCTTTCCATCATCGGGGGACTAGACGTTGGCTTGGATTCCACCCCTGTATTGTAGATATTCCAAGGATGATGAAGCGTTACGCTTCCACATTTGTATGTCGAACGGCTATGGAGTGGAATTTCCTGCCTGCATGAGGAGCACGCTGCTCCATCGTCGACTTCATCGTCACTTTCCATCAGGTGAGATGGAGGTCAAATGCGCACTTATATTTTATAAAAAAAATTAAAAAAAATAACGCACGTCATTAGCGCGTCGTCTGCGCGTATAAAATACGCTGTGTGTATAGGCCCTAAAAGTCGCCGCGTGTAACGACTCTTAAAGGATCTAAAGCATACCTGTAAATCAGCTCGGCAGTCCTCAAAAGCCTTGTCCTTATGTGTGTCGGAGATCTCAAGCGCCCAGTACATCTGTACGTATTTGAAGATTAGGAGACCACCGGTCAGTTCTGCCCATGTCTTAAGAAGTGCCTTACGAACGTCGCCCTTTCCTGTAAATATACCACCAAGTCATAGCTAGCAAAATACTCCACCCTACATAATATTACGACCTTCCAAAAAAATCATTGAAATCAATCAATTTTTCCTGGAAGGATTTAAAACTACCTAGCAGTTCACATCTTCTAGAAAAGTGAAAGGTTTTTATATCTTTCAGACAATAGGATAAAGTAAGATAAGCCTTTGATCTCCTTTACACTACCTGCCTGCAAATAATTTCCCTGCCATAAATAACTAACTACAATAACATAAATCACACAAACACTCACACACCTCTAAACAAAAGACCTATTCATCTACAATTATACAACCACACAAGTCCTTAGTCACATACATACACCTTTTACCTTTTTCTTTTCTTTCCAATTCCCTGGTCCACATTTTATAGCATAGGTGTATAATTGCTTATTCACTTATACAATTCGTACTATAACTACATACCTTACATTTGGATACCGTATTAATTCTCTATTCTGACTTTTTTTATCCGCTCACCTTAAAACCTGGCAGAATCATCAGCGTCGTAGTTCGACTGAACTGCAGCATAATGCTGAATCAAGCCCTTTTTACTGAGGCAGTACATATACTCTACACCTCCACACAAAATAACACTCTAGACCAGAGGTCGACAACCTTTTGAGTTGGGAGAGCCAAAAATTATAATTTATAAAATTTCACAGTTTATAAAGAGCCACTAAAATTTGTCTTGCCTATGTTATAGTACTTGCTTATATAACGGTATATGATTTTGATTTAAAATAAAAAAAAACTTGAAAATAAGAAATAATATCTATTCACACATGGTATTTTTTTCACAACAAATTAAAGTATTTAAGCAGAAAATTTAAAAAATCAAATAATATAACTACAGAATTGAGAAGTAAATCAATGGGAGCATTGGCTTTGGTTGCGTTTTGAAAGTTTGGATAAATTTGGCTGATAACTAGTTGTTTTAAGTTTCAAACACGACTCTAGATTTTCATTTGTTGGCTTCTTACTTTACTTTGATTTCAATATTTGCGTATGGAACTAAAGAGCCGCAACTTCACATCGAAAGAGCTGCATGCAACTTGCGAGCCGCAGGTTGCCGACTACTGCTCTGGACCATACCCGCCATAGACATATATCTAGATAATATATGTCTGTGATACTCGCAAACTTAGACGAGCCTCTTTCTTTGTCATTACCATTGTACCTATGTCATAAACTTGTTCGTGTATTGTACAAGTTTAAATAAAAACTTTTTTCGGAATTTATTTTTATTTCTGAATTTAGAACTCCTTGCTAAGCAACTGACATCACTTTTTTTAAATTACCTCGAAAAAAAATAGAAAAAAAAGGATATGACATGTGAGGTGAGGTCATATTTTTTGAAGATGGAGCGAATATACTTTTTGATAACTTAATTTCGAGTATTCCGTTTCTCATCTGCCAGAACTTGATCAAACTGCATCATAACTTGTCGAACTATTGCTACTCTTATTCGTATACGTATTCACTAGATTTTTATCTGATTTTTTTACCGATTTGCATCAAATGAGGATGTGATAGTTGAAACAGATGTTTATTTTTGTTTTTGGGTTGAAGAAGTTGGGACATCACTGGGCAAGGTGTATAGAGTTAAAAGGAGATTACGTAGAAAAAAAAGCATAATTTAAAAATTGATTTTTTTTTCTTCTTGTTCTTCTCAAAGTCATTGACTTATCCACAGACCACATAAATACTGACTTATCAAACCACTCTCGTAGTGTCCTGTCGTGACGCGTCAGAAAGTATCGGTTTCATATATTTAATATGATTACATTTATATTACTGTGTCACAATCTGACGTGACGGCTTGTGCCGTTCTGACGCGTCACGACACGGCACGTTAGACAAATGTAAATCCGGCTTTATTTATATATCTGTCTTTGACTGCGTGAAAAACAACGGTGCAGAATAACCTAGAGTGCTTCTTTTCCTAGTTTCACTGAGCCAGAGAAGTAAATAAAAGTACCTTCAATAACCTCCTCAAGATGCGTATATGGGCAGGCAGTGGCGTCGCCCCAGTTCATAGACCACCAGATTGACAACGCGAAGAGGAATATGGCGTACGTCCCTACGCCGAAGTTCTCAGCAACTGAAAACACGCGTACATTGCATTACTTAAGTTTTAACCGACTTCAAAAAAAGGAGAAGGTTGTCAATTATGTTTTTTTATGTGTATGTGTGTTACGCGATTTTGATGGTTCTTTTTTTTTGGAAAGAGTGTACCTCAGTATTGGTTCCATTTCAATTTGAAGAAAATATTCCACCTCTAAGGGTGGCTAACTAGGGGATGAATCCAGTTTCGCGCACTTTCCCGTAACCGCTTTCAATAAAACTTGACAAATAGATGTGATTCCACGAACTTTTGAGGTCGGTTTTTTATAATAAATTGACAGTCTTCCATATGTAATCGAACTCTAGGTGTAATAAGGCCATATCTGCAAACTTACAACTTTTCAGGAGAAATGTTTAAATATTTTACTAACGAGAGAGAGTTATAAATTTGTCATATCGGCGGCCAAATTTGTTTATGGACGAAATCCCTTTTTTACTTTTCAAGCACAATATCGGGCAATCAAAACTTATCAAATAATCTGCACGCCTTCCTTTAGTTATAAAATAAAGGTATAATGTATAATCATAGATTGTTGTATAATAATTTTTGGTAATTCTCTTTTTTGCGCCTACTCAATAGTTCACATTAATGAAGGTTACGAGGTTTCCGAGGTTTTCCGAGAGAGAGAGTTTAACCGATGATGTACATACTTTCATATGATAGAAGCATTTTTGACGTATGCTCATATGATCATTTTATTACACCTAGAGGAGAAAGGGAGACTAAGTAGATACTCTTAGCAGTAAATGATATTAATATCAGAAAGCAAGGTTTGCAATTTTTCAGAGCAAACATTCCATTTACAAAAAAAAGATAAGACTTGTTTTTGTAGTTGATTATTTAAAACAAAATTTAATACACGTGCAGAATTTTTAGTACAATCATTGGTTTGTTAAGAAGCTACATTGCATGCATTTCAAGTTTAATGCATGTCCCTGGTTTTCGAAGCCATTGCGCCTATGTGCTCAATGGTTGATCTGACCAGAATATAATTTAGGCTTCTGCTGATAACGACAAATATTCCTGACTATAATACGCCGTTCGTCCAAGAAGCCACAAATTATTAATTGGTAATTCTCACAATGCAGTTAATTGTGGACATGCAATTATTGTGGCTTGTTATTGTGGCTTTGATTTTATTTATACTATTAGGCAATAAACTATTTTATTTTCATGATATACAGGCAAGGTACAATAAAAGCTTACATACTACTAAGTAAAACTAGTATTAAATTATATGAACAGAATTGGGTCCCCGCGGCAAGGTGCCCAAGATGCTGGCAGCATTCCCCCTTTGTATGGCTATGCTAATGCCTTGGGGAAGGTAGCTGAGTTTCCCAGACAGTCTACTAATGAATATATGAAGGGCACCGGGACCCCACGGGCCAAGGGTTTCGACTCTAAAGGCTGTAAATAGGTAGTCGGAGCTGAGATCTTGGTACTTATTACTTTTGATTTTATTGTATATCATGAAATTGTTTTGCTATTAATATTAGACAGTCATTTATTTTTTGTGAAGTTACTCCACTACTTATATATATTTTTTCATGGACGTTTGCAACATCAGAAGAGCTGCCTATTCGTTGCCAGCCTTTGAGAGCCCTGTAAACACATTTGTTGGAGAACCTCACGTCATAGCGCAAAGAAAATACTTCAGGAGAAAGATTATTGTACATCTTGTAGGTTCAAGGAAGAAACGAACGAGATGCCCGCGTGGTCTTACAATGTCAGACATATAATGTGAGTGGATGGACTCTACTCCTTTGGCGGGAGGTGCGATGGTGGAAAGGAAACAATGGCACCAGTTCGAAAAGTTCGACAGAGCCATTGACTTACAATTATATGGACGTCGGGTCCGCGCTAAAAAGTGTCCGAACTTATAGGGCGTTAAAATCGTATACAGAGCGTCATTCACGCTTTAGTCTTCGTTTGTTCGACTGACAGCGAAGCAAGCAAAATTAAACAGTACTGCGATGACTTTACAATTTAAATTCAACGTTTTAGATTTTTCATATTCCTTTACATGTCACTACGTTTAAATAGGTTGACTTGGGACATTTTTTTTGTATTAGACCCGTCGTCCATTTATTTGTAAGTCAATGGTCAGAGCACTTTTTTTTTTTTATAACATGCCGCGGGTGCACGTACAGTACTCTCCCTATTTTCCAGATAGGTACTGTTGGCACATTCACTTCCCGTTGTGCATTGTACAAATAACGGTGGCCACCGCTAAGCCGTTATTCTAAAATGCACTAGCAAATCTTCACTATGGCGGTGGAACTGCTGGCATAAGCGTGCCAACAGGTCCACCACCTACGATGAGATGACACGTTGGCTCTCTGAGTGTGTATCCCCATTATCTTTATAATGGGGAGTGCTTTGAGGAACTTTTAGAACTGGTGACATCGTCTCGTTTCCACCATCGTACCTCTCGCCAAAGGAGTAGTAGAGTTTTAGTAGCTGTAGAGCTCCTTGTAAATGAGTTCGTCTAGGATAGTACAGTCTTTCTTACCTATTTCTGTTGTCCAGCAGTAACAAAAGCATTACTGCGTTTCAGTTTAGAAGGGTGAAGGTACTGGTGAGATTACAGGCACATGGGATAGGTCAATTTATGTTTCAGGGTGAACGTGCGCTGTAGTAAGTGCCAGATCTTTGCGATTTAAAGTGGTTCGAATCCAGCGGGATCGAAGTGAAGTTTTCCTAAGCGCAGACTTTTGTTAACCGACTTCGAAAAAGGAGGTTCTCAATTTGACTATATGTTTTTTTTGTACGTATGTTACGCGATAGCTCCGATATTTGTGAACCGATTTTCATGATTCTTTTTTGTTGGAAAGAGGGTACCTCCACAGAGGTCCCATTTCATTTTGAAGAAAATCATCCACATCTAAAGGTGGCTGATCAGGCATGAACATTCATTTTTATAAACATTGCCTAAATTTTGCTTAAGGAGCAATTATTTTAATGGTTGGTTTTGCTATTCTCCAATTCAAGGCGTTTTTCTCTCTCAATATACTTTGAGTAGTGAGAACCGATTTTTATTATCTCCTGTGCCATTTCCTGTATAGTGGCAAACTAGGAGATATTTCAATAAAACTTGGCAAATACATGTTATTCTACGTACTTTTGAGATCGGTTTTTTTAGTACTCTGTACTGCGATTATTTAATAATTATAATAAACTAGTAGAGTAATTATTTGAAAAAACAAATATAGGCGATTTAAATCCGGAAAAATAGTTTCATTCCTATGTATAACAATCGCGAAAACCTAAGAACTCGATAGTAGAGTAATTTCACAAAAAAGAATTTAATATCATGATAGTGAAACATTCTAACATCCAATAGAATGTTGATTATTGTTATATTATTATTATTATCATTTACAATATTTATTTAATGATTTCAAACGTCATATGACGTTTATACAGAGAACACAGAGAACAAAAGATCTTCATGGATCCGCAATATTTAATCTAACCACAAAAGTTTCACTGGCGTTATAGAATCCACCACATTACTCATAATAATCCACTGCAGACATAGACCCCATTTCGTCGTCTCCGTATGTAATAAATTACTCCGGCCTACTGCGACTTCAACCTAACTGCGTGGCAATTATGGCGTATTCTCCCTTTCTGAAGTTTCATGTCCAACTGTTGACTGAATTACGATGGCAAAATGCTTTAGTAGATCTTTATTTAGAAGCAGTAGAACTCCTTGCGAAAGAATTCGTCTAGGGAAGTACTGTCTTCTTACCTGTTTCTGCCGCCCAATAGTAAAGTGAGCATTATTGTGTTTTGAAGGTTAAGGTAGTCACCACACCTATCAACATGGCAACGCCGGTCAGAAAAATCTTTATGTCAGTGTAATAAGAACAAAAATGCAATGGCACAGAATACAATGACTTATTTAGTCACTGGAAGGAAATACCAATAGAAATTGAGAGCAGATATTTGATAGTGTTGGAAAATTACTATAGTGTTGGTTATAAAGTTAGGCTTAAGAATAGGTACATGACAAAAAGAGTAAGGCAGGGTAAGCTAGCAGTTTAAAGCATATAACTATTATGGAAAAAGATGTACACGTTATTTAGTTCCAAAAATAAGGAATGACACAGAATTAAGTTAATATGCACTAAAATGTAGGGTAAAGGCGTATCTCTTAAAGTAATTTTTATATTTTATTTAGTAAGTACTATTAATACTTAATGTTATAAAATACATAGTATAGTTGAGAACGAGTACACATGTACCCAACAAACTGCACAGCAGTTTGGCAACTTTTAGTAAATATTTGCCTGCTGTATTTTCCTTGAAATAATTTAAACACGGATGGTATTTTTCGCTTTTATTGCATAGAAAAAAAGGTTTTTCTGATCGGCTTAAGCCTTTGATTCTTTGACTATAAATGTGATGATTCCCTAAGAGAGCGGGTGAAATTATAGGGACATGGGATTTCTTAACTTATGACGTACCCATGGCGCATTTCGACACGAATTTCCGCCGTGCGGAAACCGCGTGCGTCTAACTGTCATGGCAAAGTACGCTCTAATTATTTAGCTTTTACGTTTTAACTTAAATGAGCATCCCGGGCGCGCGGGCGAGTCAGGCTGGTCTTTGGTCGGCGCGGCGATCGAATGGCGACCGCGCAGTTGTGGTCGCCGTACAGGTCATTTGAGAACAGTCTCCCGACGCATGGCGCAGAGAAAAACCCAAGTGTCATCGGGCCTACTTACTTATGAGCGTTTACCCGCTACTCTCAAACTTGAACCGTCTGACGAAACATTTAGGCGCCGGCTGAAAGACCTTTTCTTGAAAAATCCTTTACACTCTGTAAATGAATTTATGGACTTAAAATTGTAACGAATTGAGTATTTTCTGTTTTTATTCTAATTTTTACCGCATTAACATACTCTTGTATTATTGTTATCAACTTAAGACGATCCTTGATGGAGAATGATATTTGATATGTAATTTAATGACAACAATATTATATAATGAATTGTTAATCTTCTAATTATTGTGTATTTTTCTTATAATTTTCATTTTTGTCTGACGATCTCAATACAATTTCTTATACTTTGACATGTAGTGCAATTTATACTGTAATGTTATATTTGAGAAATAAATGAATCTGAATCTGTTTTATTCAGAGGAATTTAAGTATTGTTGCCTAGTAAATAAAATTCAGATTCGCTATTAATGTACGTGAAACGTGGTAACTGGGCGGCCTAACTTTCGAGTCGTGTAACTGAGGGTTGACGTAGCACGTTTCAGCTAGTAATCGTATGGTACCAAAATTTTAGTGGAAAAATATTGAAAAATACGAAAACGATATAGTTCACTTTAAAAAATTTAAGAATGAGAAGTTTTAATGAGGAAATTTTTCTAAGCCAAGTCATTCACAATAATAATAATATTAAAGCGTTTCGGTTTGAAAAGAAATTATTACAATTCATCGTTATTGTCAATTACAATACATAACATTTTAGTGACAGTAGAGGTCCTTGTGAAAGAGCTTGTACAGGGAAGTACTGCCACCTTATCTATTTCTGCCGCCAAGCAGTAAGGTGAGCATTGCTATAAGTTGAGTTTATTTTCGGTCTTGGTAATTTCCGGAGAATATATTAAGATTATCATTTCCTAAGTTTAAAACTTACATTAAAAGTATTTTAACTGAATAGTCATATTACAAAATTGAAGAGTAAGTTTTAGATAAAAAAGTATGGAAAGAGTATTCCATAGCATTTAAGTTTATTTGAAAACAGCAATCCCTAGAGTTTTCGCTCGTTCTTCTCAGGGAGGTCAGCGTAGTGAACAAGCAGTAGCTTAAAAAATGACGGAGTCAGGTGTAAAAACTTTACCTTTGGAATAAATGATTATTTGACTTTGGTCAATTTACTAAGTTTTGTAAAAAAAACAGAACAAAGGTTATTGTTTATGATGTTAGTAATATTAGACCTGCGAGGTGGTTAAAATACTTATTATACATATTCGGGATCAGGAAAAATATGGTCATCCACCTAATTGTTGGATATATAGTAAGCTCAAAAGACACAACTGTAGACAATAATCAGACTTGATGCCTTCGGAACGAAAAAAGTATACATGTGTGTACGAGCTACCTCGACATACTTAGGAAAATATTATAATATTTTCATTCCAAGAAAACGTGCCGTGTCTGCAACTTGCCGCATCACACCTCGTTACACGACACTCTTCGCGTTGCTAAGCGAACTCCGCCACCGCTGGAGAGTCAATCAGTTTATCATTGGAACGGGATGTTAGTAATGAAACGTGTCCGCACTCAATGATTCCGTTTATTGAACTCTAAATAAAGTAAACACGTAATAGCTTTTTATGTTAAAATCTACGTCAGCGTATATAGTTTTGCAATTATTATAATATTTTCCTAAGTATGTCGAGGTAGCTCGTACATACGCGTTTTTTCATCACGAGGGTAGAAAAGTGCTGGTAAAATTACAGGTATATGCATTGACTTACAATTATATGGACGTCGGGTCCGCGCTAAAAAGTGTCCGAACTTGTAAGGCGTTAAAATCGTATACAGAGCGTCAAACTCCGCTTTAGTCTTCATTTGTTCGACTGACAGCGCGATACTGCGATGACATTACAATTTAAATTCAACGTTTTAGCTTTTTCATATTCCTTTACATGTCACTACGTTTAAATAGGTTGACTTGGGACATTTTTTTCGTGGTTTTTGTATTAGACCCGTCGTCCATTTATTTCTAAGTCAATGGGTATATGGGACTTGTCAACTTACGTCTCAGTGTTACGTAGACAGCGGCACTGCTACTCAGACATTTACAAATTCAAAGTCTAAATAGCACTGCAATTGTTACGGATTATCATTCATCCTGTCACTAGCTATAATAAAAAAAAATAGAACCGTACCAATGATAAGTTCGAAGCAACATCCACACAGCTCAGCGGCAGCGATGGCTTCCTCCAACAACGTCCTCGCTAGAGACTCCTTGATGGATTTCTGGACCAGTCTTCTGGCACAGTGCGCTAGTAGTGACGTCAGGAGAATGAACAGGGTTGACACCAGGAGTGGCGCGAATATTGCTTTGTTTATCTGGAAAATTCAAAAAAGACTTTCTTTTAATGATATATAAATGTATTGTCGCAGTTAAACGTTTTTCAAACCTAATTCAGAGAAATAAAATTAGAGAGACTTTTGTCCAAAAATCAAATTAGAGACACTTTTATCTCTAATTTTATTTCTCTGAATTAAGGTTTAGGGTCAGATTTAAGGCAGAGGCTCAACTTATGCTAGTTAGGCGATGAGACCATATAGCGCTATTTTTCAACCCCTCAGTATTTCCTATGGTATTGAACGAGAGTTATCGTGTTAACGAGGTTTAACAAGTACTCTCTTACAATCTAAGGTTATACATTAACATGACAATATTAAAAAATTAAAACGAAGATTAAGAACAAAAACAAAATAAAATAATATTATTAGAAATAAATATTAACTTAAATTTTTTTTATATTGTGTCATCTCATCATTACTAACAGAATTTCAGCCGAAGACGTCCACTGCTGAACATAGACCTCCCCCAAAGATGTATTTATATACCCAGTATATATTATAATAATAATGTGCCAGACATCCATCCCAATTACCCGGTCTCAAACTAGGTCTATAGGTCTGGTCACTACCCATAACACAAATACCAGAACCGATTTATTTTTATTTTTATTTTATTTTATTTTTTATTTATGGCACAATGTACAGACATCAGATACAGAAAGTGAGGAAAATAAAAACACTTAAAAATTAATACAACAGGCATATCTGTGCCCAATTATTACTGTGCTCAACATTCATTTTAAAACATTTAGATATACTTAAACAGACACTAAATCAATCATAAAAAAAAAAAATCGTGAGAAATAAAAAATAGAGAGAATGAGAATATGCTATTCACTGCACATTAATGCTAGCAGTGACCTCTTAAATGCTGGGACACTGCAGTTAAAGATATCACAATCAGTACATATTTCATTATAATACCCACACATGCTATGTAGAGGATTATTTTGTGATACATTGTTTTTTGAAATGGGTATATTTAGAAAAGTTCATTTCCCAATTGATCCTACCGGGAATTCAACCCGAGACCTCCTCATCCCACGTCCATAGTACAAACCCCTGATGTCCACAAAGTACATAAAAGATTGATCGCAACCTCGATTTGTCACTACCGACTATACTTGGAATACACAATTTTTCGTTTTTAAAACCGACTTCAAAAAAAGAGGAGGATCTCAATTCGATTGTATTTTTTGTGTTGTTACGCGATAACGAGGTTCCGAAAAGAGGCTACCTCATTATTGGTCCCATTTAAATTTGAAGAACACATTCTACCTCTAAGGTTAGGAAACCAGGGGATAAATCTGGTTTCGAAAATAATAAATATTCAATACCTACCCGTAAATCCCATGACATATAAAGCACAAATAGTAAAATAAATGACACGTTCGATTTTATAAAAACCATTTCAATTCAAATCTTCAATAATAACAAATCGACAATTTGATCACGAAAACATTAAAATATAACTGAAGCCCAAAACTAACTAATCATTAAACATAATTTTGTTATCATAAATTATCAGTGATTAAAACGTATTATATATACACACGTATATATCTACATAGATAAAAAGATATGAATCGTGGATATGAACAAGAACGTAAAGTTTAGTTTAACGATCTTTTGGTTAAAAAAATTCGTGACATATTTACAAATTACAGTTTTGAAAAGAAAATTTCTTTTGCTGTATGGCTTTCAACGGGATCTGCAGAACTTTGTGTAATTATTAAAATGCCTGCCATAGGATATCCAACAATGGACAAAGCTATTGTTACAGACTGAAACTCAAATAAGTTTTATTTCATAGATAAGCAAATTATATTTGAAATCGTTACAGCGATTAAACTCTACTGCTCCCTCGTTCGTACCGCAGATTTTCCTGAGAAAAACGAATGAGTAATTCTAGGGTTTTTCTTCTTTTTTTTATGCTACCTAGTAACAGACGTGAGACGTGGTCACTTACATATGGAGCAAGCAATGCTCGGTATTTCGCTACGTGATCGAATCCGAAATGAGGAGATCCGTAGAAAAACAAAGCCCAAAAGATTAGCAAGTTGAAGTGGCAGGGCACATTGCTCGTAGAACTTACGGCCGTTGGGGCAGAAAGTTTCTCGAATGGAGACCACGAACCGAAAGGCGTTCAGTGGGACGGCCCTCTACTAGATGGACGGATAACCTGGTAAGGGCGGCGGGTAACCGATGGGTGCACGTTACGTCCGACTGTCTAGTTTATTCAGCCGTGGACGTCTTCCGGCTGATGCAACCCTATATTACCATAATGCAAACATAGTGAGAAAACCTACACGTCGAAGATGGTTCACAACACTCGGTAGACGTGTCAAGTCGCCAGTAGTAGTAGGTAATAAAGTTTCAAATTCATTTAAGAGGCAATGTATACGCTTCTATAATAAGATTCCGATTGAGATTCAAAATTTCCCATTTACGAGGTTTAAAACTATTGAGAAACAAAAACTTTATACTAAAGGTGTCATGGGTGTTTGTTTCCGTCATAGTTTTTGTTTCCGTGGCTTTGTAGGGGAAAAACGTTCAGTGTCAATTTGCAACTAGACTTGCAACTTTGCAATTATACTCTAAAACGTGCTGGTAAAACGTGTGCTCGCGCCATGTTTTTTCTCAACCCCGTCATTGGTGGCGAGCCGCAACGGGAGCCGACGGAAGAGTTTTTCTCTTCCTTCACAGGTGGGGTCACTATGCGTGGAGCGGTAAGGTGGGAGATTTCCCGCGTTATAAAGATTATTATATAACTTCAACGTACTTGGTTGACAAAAATCCGTGGCAGTAACCCGTTTAGCTCTTTCAGGTATTCTCGATTAGGATGTTTAAATGAAATATTGTAATGATAAATGTATTCAAATGTATATTTACAAAGAGTAATACCTAGAGTTTCTTGCTGCCTTACGAATGAGTAGTAGAGTTTAATCAGAATGACACTTTCAAGTGTAATTTGCTTACCTGTGAAATAAAGATTAATTAACTTTGATTTTGACATAATACCTATTAAAAAACCAGCCCCCAAAGCTATTTTTAGATAGCGAAGTATTACTCTAGATTTATACAGACGAAATTCAAAGCACTGAGTGCTAAGTTGTCTCGGGACTCCATCGACTGCCAAAACTAGTTTCGGTCGAAATGTTTACATTCCGACACTTCGTCGTCCTGATACAACAAGAAACATACGGGACCAACGCATTATGCTGAAGTTTTATACGGTTCCATAATATCCGCAGACTTTGTGGAATATAGAAGCCGTGTCACGTCGTCGGTACCGCTGGACGCAATAGACAATTAGGGCTAGTCAGGGCGGTGACGACTTATTTTTCCGTTTCACCTTTTTGAAACCGTCTACTGGTGAACTCGTCTCGGTGGTATTGACGCTCTAGAGATGAGCTCTCTTAAAACTGGTGGGTATACACTCATAGAGCAATACTTACGCGCTTCACCACGCTACGACGTGGCACCACTGTCTTCAATCAAATTCGAAAAGACACGCAGGCACAAAGGTGAAAAATCCACATAAAAACAACCAAATACAAAATGAAAAAACCAAATACAAAGATACGACGCAAGCACATAGAAAAATTCGTGAGGTCCGCTGGTTCGTTCCGTGGCTTAGTTGGTATAGCGTCTGTCACGGTATGCTAGAAGACGTCGGCTCGAATCCGACCGCATCGAAGGATTTTTTTCTGAGTGTTCGATCTTTGTATTAACTGCATCCGTGGCCGAACGGTTACCGGACTGCCACGCAGACGTCCCAAGTTCGATTCCCGGGCCGGGAGAAATATTTCTATGGACTATATTTATTTATCTCATGAGTTTAGGTGTAATTTGTGGTTGTCTATGTGTGTGGCCATGGCACCCGTGACACAGGGTTTCCCCAGTGCGGGGGGCTATGTTGAGTGTTTGCGTTATTTATTTATTAATTATAACAAACCAGTGGTGTAATTTTAAAAAATAATTGAATATCAATTCAATAAAAGTTTAAAATACAATTAATAGCGACATCTCTAGCCGGGGATGATAGCTGTAAAGGTATCTAACTGGGTGACGAAATATCATAGATTTCTCATAGATGGCGCTACGGCTAAAAAGTCGTTGAAAAAACCACATATAAAGATACGACACAAGCACATAGAAAAATTTATGAGGTCCGTTAGTTGGTTCCGTGGCTTAGTTGGTATAGCGTCTGACACGGTATGCTAGAAGACGTCGGTTCGGTATGAATACGGCCGGATCGAAAGATTTTTTTCTGAGTGTTCGATCTTTGTATTAATAATTAATCCACATAAAACTAAAAAATATATATCAAAAGGCCTCAAAACTGTGTTCTTATATTGTTCCATTCCATAACACATGGTTTCCTACGTCCCGAGACATGCCATTCTTTTCTGTTTAAATAATTTTAAAATTAGCTATCGGGTAATGACAATAACATTCGTAATTTTGAATGTACGACATAGTTTTGCGTAAGCCACGGTAACTCAATAATCGTGATAAATCCAATCGAATTAATCTGATTTCAATAACATAACACACCCTTGGCGAACAAGGCAACATTTGCAAGTGACAATTTTCAAAAGAGAAGTTTAAAGGCTGTTCAAAGAATATAAAGGTATAAATACTATTGGTTAAACTTTATTCACGTGAAATGTTTTTGACGTAATCTGCTTTTCTCATATTTTTATGCTGTATGTTTTCAATCTTTCCGCAGCATGGCTCCACGTAGAGGATCTCGGTTCAATTGCGAAGGTATCTTAGAATACCGCATAGCTTCATCAAACGCTTGCAGTGCTGACACTATTTGTTGTAGAAATTAATCAACCTATATAATATCTTCCTTAAGTTATCTATAGAAAAGGTAATAGGTCCTAATACACTACCCTGACATAGCACATTTCAACTAGTAATCGTATGGTACCAAAACTCTAGCGAAAAAATATGATTATAAAAATACG